GGGAGACATGGCAGCCGGGTACTTGTGGTAAACAAACTGTTTAATCTGTTCTGAAATGCGAGAGTTTAGCGCCTGCACGTAACCACACCTGCAATTCAAAAGCTTCCCCGCACTTCGACGCATCTGAGAATAAATGCGAGAGCCTTTGGGCTACAGGAAGTGTTACAAGCCCTTCGGACTCGTTTTACAGAGACATTTCCAGGGCAAGGCTCTTTACCGAACCGACCGGCTCTTCCTCGGGAGACCTTTCAAAGCCTCCCGCCTGAGTTTTGGACGGGTGCTTTTTGTTTTCAGCCCTGCCGGGTGCGGCTTCGTCACCCACGCTGCGGTGTCACCAACAGGCAGGGGCCGCGTGGGCTGTGCCGGGGAGACGAACGGGATGTTCTGCACGGCTCGGGAGCTTCAGCCTCTCCTCGGGGAAATCACTGTCGCCTCTCTCTGCCGTGAAGTTGGTTGTACACGCAGCAAAACTCCCGTGCTCGGCGCAGGTGAGGGCACTGTGCGGGGAGTTGCACTTCCTGCAGCACACAGACTAGAGGCGCAGTATCTGCTTCACCTGCAGCTCCCTGTTTTGTATTCCATTAGAAAAATTAATGGAATATTCACCTGGCGTTTTGTAATTATTTTTAGACTCATTGCAGAACCTAACGCGGTCTGAAAGCAGTAATAAAGAACAAAAGAAATCTCAAAACTGTCTGAATGTCTGCAGTCTCGTGATTTTCGACTGCCAGCAATACTTTAACTTTTATTAAACATGCCAAGCCAAATTTACTCTATTTAAAATTACTTAAGTAGGCTATCACTGTGCATCAGATGCTTACAGTAGATTATTGACAGCTGGGATAAACCAAGCCCATTCTGGTAAGGGAACTTTCAGAGGTAGAGGGGGTCTGGAAGTAAGGCCTGTTCTTAAAATAATATAGATGAAATGCAGAAATCTGATTAATTTTATTTTTTCCCCAGGATTTACCATGCTAGAGTATCATCCCTTACTCTTCCACATTCTTACTGAATGAGAAAAAAAAAACCAAATCAACTACTCACTCCATATTTTGGGAATGCATTGTCTGGGGTTTCATGCTATTGCTTCCTGTATCATGAAAGATATCAAATCGAAAATATTTCTCTTCAGCAACTTCAGCAGCTCTGAATTAAGAGAATCTGTATTTTATTGGCTTTCAATGCTTGAGCAGGTTAAGAATGTGTAAGCAAGAAAGATTCCATTTAGAAAGAGAAGTGCAATGTCCATGATGCCAGCAGAGACATTAAGAGAGATTAGGCCATCTTCATAAACTACTTTTCAACCACTAAATTATAAAAAATAATGAATGCCACTAATTAAGGGAGACAATTTTTGAAATAAAGAAAATTCATTTTTTTTTAACCCAGTAACAGCTCATGGAGATAGAAATGCAAGATAACCAGCAGAACAGTTTTTACACTGTTGTACCAAACAGGCATCGACCACCCCTTGCTGCAGAGCAGGTGGCCTTCAGGTCGCACTCTGCACGTGGCAGAACTGTCACAAACTGGTGAAAAGATGTGGTTTGAGGAAGATTTTCTTTCTGAGACAGGAATGGTGATCTGCCTCTCCCACTTGGATTGCCAGTTTTTACAGATCATGATTAAAATCTGACTAAGACATTTAAATGTGCGTGAGCGGGTTCAGTTTTGATTTTGAAATCTCATTTCCCTGGTTTTCGAAGAGATTAACAACTCCTGAATGGAAAGGTACAAGAAGCAGAGGTGCTTTGAATTTTGGTGGTATCTTAGTAACTTTGACGTTTATCTGGTGAGGGATGGCATCACCCTCGTGCCACGTTACCGTGAATTCACCGGGTGTTTGCTGTGGCTCTCGGATCTCCGAAGCACAACCTGCTCCTGGGAAGTTTAGCCAAAGCATCTGCAGGGATAATTTAGCTCTGCACACTCCATTTTAAGTTCATGGAGTAGTCATTCAGCTGAAGTGGTCTCTGCAGAGGTGCTTCAGAAGTGCTCAGCAGCAGAGAAGCGATGGAGGCAGAGCCGTGATCCGGAGCATGATCTGCCTGCACAAAAGCTGGATCCGGGGCTTCTCCCCCCAAAAAAAGGCAGCTGGCAGGGAAAGACAGGCAGAGGAGGCACAGACAGGTTGGTGTCAGCAAAGCTGTGCTGAGTCATCCCTATTGAGGACCCCAAGTGTATTTAAACTTCATTCAGTCACTCTGTTCACCTTTCAGGGGGAAATGCGGGAAAAGGCGGGGAGAAAGTTGAATATTGAGAGTCACCATGAGAGAGATGAATCACTTCACAGCGGGAATGATACAACGGAAAAGAAACCCAAAGCAATTTATATTAAAACTAAAGCCAGAAACTACCATTTTTTAAGGCTTTTTAAGAGAGAACACAAAGAATAACCTAGAATTTCCAAAGCACTGGTAAATATGAACCGATTACTTATTATTTCATTAAAGTGGAGATGGGAAGGACCAATTCCTAACTCTCAGCGTTTGCCTCCTGGGGTCCTAGATAGCTTTTCCTGTCAAATTAAAACAGGAGGGGGAAAAAAAAAAAAAAGATAAATAAACATGAGAAATTAAGATTGTCTAGGTATGTGAAGGAGAAAGGAAAAGAAACAAGGAAATAACGCTCCACAATTATTACCAGAGCTAAGAGAAACAAAATTACTTCATCATAAATTCGGGATAATCTGGTTTTCTTTATGAGTTTCCACTTTATTAATGAAAGGAAGGTAACACCTTTAGTGTACCCGGCTGAATTAAAATGCCTGTTTGGAGAAGCAATCCCCCATAGGGGTCTCTAATAGAATCTGAGAACCATTCTGGAGCCAGATAATTTAGCTGTAAAATGGCAATATTAATAGCTCACCCCTCAGTACACAGACCAGGCTGGACAGAAGAAGGGAATGCCGGCATGAGAGGCTGTGGGGATTATCTGCATTATCAGAAGTTCCATCAGCCCTGAGGCTTCTCACACAAGGAGCCCTTAAAGAGAGGGCAAAGTTGCCAAGCACAGAATCTATAAATTGTCCATCTGCCCCTAAAACAAAGTTTCCATAACTTTCCACAGTCTTTGTCCTAGAAATTATGTGTACATCAGGAATTTATCAGATTTTAATGATGCATCATACTGAAAAATACTTACTTCCCAAATTTAAAGAGGGTTTTCTCATTAATTTTTAGCCGATTGAAAGAGAATATATAAAATATCTAAACTATCTTCTCTTGGTTATTTTGGATAAATCTGACAAAGATACTCCTCATGAAAATTCCAATCAGGTCCTTTTGACTGCAGGTCAATTCCAAATGTGGCAGAAAAATCTCTCTGAATAGAAATATGATGAGAAAAAAATAGAGAAGAATCAGTTCATCCCACCTGTGGGGTACCTGCTCCTGCCTGCACTGGGAAATGGGATAATCCCAGACTTCAGAAAATCGGGGGGGGTTGTTATGTGGGGTTTGAAATGGTACCAGGACTCTCTTTTCAGGGAAGAGATTGGCAAAAGGCAGAAATTTTCTCTACATCAGCCCCTGGCAATCCTCATGTTCCAGAAAGACCAAAATGGTGTTGGAGAGCCACAAACCCACGTGTTTACTGAGGAGCTGTAAGAAGAGCTGCTTGGAAAGTTTCACCAGAAACTACAGAAAATGGACTTTTTCAACTCAATCCAGTTGGTTTTGATGAAGAACTGGTTTTATGAGCAAGACTGGGAAAAAAAGTATTATCAAAACTATAAATATTCCAGCCTGCCAATTTTTTCTGTTCTATAAAAGAGCAGTTTTGCTTCATTCCCTCTGCCCCCATTCCTCATCTACAGACTTTCTCCAATAAGATTTAATCTTCCATGCTGGAACTGCCCATTTCTACTTAGTAAAGAGAAAAAAAAAAGAAAAAGAAAGAAAAAAAAAAAAGATACAGAGCAAGAGCACAAGAACTCATATCTAAATACTTCAGACAGTGCCAAGGGAAAGCACTTGAGGGAAGGAATCATCACCACACACAAGCCTGGAAAACTTGTGGGGGATCTTTCATTTACACCACTGGAATTTATTTCATAAATTTTACTCATCTTCACCACAGGGAAAAAACCATAAAAATCTCCTATTCTCAGTATCAGTCTAGCAGAAACGAAAATTAACCGAATTTGGCAGATTATGACAAAGGTAATTTTCTTCTGCGGGAAAAGTGAAAGGGACAAATCAGGCCCAATCCGCGCAGAAATTACCCTCCGGAAAATCTCTTCCTGTGGAGTTCAAACACACACATTGCAGTGCAAGCAGTGAATTGTGCCCCCCTGCTCCGCCCTGGTGGGATCCCACCTGCGGTCCTGTGTCCAGCTCTGGGGTCCTCAGCACGGGAAAGGCCGTGGAGCTGCTGGAGAGAGTCCCGAGGAGGCCACGGAGATGTTGTGAGGGCTCTGGAGCCCCTCTGTGCCCGAGCCAGGCCCGGAGACATGAGGGTGCTCACCCAGAGAAGGGGAGGCCTCAGAGCCCCTTCCAGGGCCTGAAGGGAGCTTACTAAAAGGAGGGAAAGCAGCTTGTTTCACAGGCAGACAATAATGGGAGAAGGGTTTTAAAATAAAAAAGGGAAAATTCAGAGGAGACGCGAGGAGGATATTCTCGCCTGTGAGGGCGGTGAGGCCCTGGCACAGGTTGCCCGGAGAAGCTGTGGCTGCCCCATCCCAAGGAGCGTGCAAGGCCAGGTGTTGGACAGCAGATGAGTAATTATCGGGTCAGAACCCCTCGTGTTTGTGTGTGTTTGTGTTGGGGAAGGATCGGCGGCTCCTCCCGGCGCTGAGGCGGCTCCGCGTCCCTCACGGCAGCCCCTGCAGCGCACTCGGGGCAGCCCCGGAGCACCGCGGGGCAACGGCGGGAAAAACAACCCCCCACACGGCCCGGCCGGTGCCGAGAACCACTAAAGGAACACTAAAAAAATCACTAAAGTACCACTAAAGTACCACCAAAGTACCACCAAAGTATCACTAAAGCACACTAAAAGCGCCTCTCGGGAACAAGCCCGTGGCTTACTCCCTAGGCGCTATCTCGAGGCATTAAAAGAACCCTGTATATATATTTTACAGTAAAACTCCCTCTCATACCGGGAGCTTGTGGCATCAAGGCAACCTGGTGGAAGGTGTCCCTGCCCATGGCAGCAGATGGGACAAGATGATCTTAAAGGTCCCTGTAACCCAAACCGTTCCGTGATTCTAATAAATTCCAACGTACAGGTTACGGGGAGCGACTATCAAGTTGCAATATGATGGATCCATTTTCATGAATAGACAGGTAGGCAATAAGTCTATGCCTTCTTTCTTTCCTCTTTATTTTAATATCTATTCAGTCTTGTTATTGGGCTATTATATTTTGCTGTTGCAATTTAAACCTTTTATCAGAAATAAATCCTTGAGTTCTATTATCTTGTAACAATCCTGTAGGGACAGGCATTTCAAAAAGCTGAGAGATAAAAATGAGAACGAAAAGAGCCTTTTTTTGCAGGCCACTATTAAAGTTTTCACACTGTTCCATTACAGCTATAAAATCGTATTTTTATAATAATTCATTACCATTCTGTAATACACAAGGAATATGCTGTGCTGTATTAATCAACAATTCCGTTTTGCTAACTTATTAAAAGCATTCACTTGAAGTCGCAAATTATTTTAGTGCCATCTTGTAGCTGATTTACAATGACTTATAGTTTATTGTTAGTTTCTCATTCGCCTCATGAAATTTTCAAATCCTGTTGATTCTTTCTTTAATCTGCTTTTACTTGACATTTATCATTAACCTACCAGTGAAAAACACTTGACACCTTTTAAGCGGTCGCTGGCTTTGGGTTTTTGGAAGGTGGGGCTCCAAAAGACAGGAATTTAGGGAGGAAATAAAAGGGATGAACAAAATGGGTTGTGAAATCTGGTGGAAACCTGCAGAATTGCAGAAACACGAGGAATCTGCTTCTCCCTGAGCCAGCATCAATGATTCATTAGCCACTTGCTACAACTCAATAATCAGTTCATGATTTGCTGAGTTCAACCATTATGAAAACAATACACAGAATCAGTAAATAATGGCCTCTGATGAATCTGCTGTACCGTGTTCCTTTTGGAAGGAGAACAATGGAAAGATCCAGAATAAAAGCAGAAAAGGGAAGCAAATGAACCCAGTAAATCACATGGAAGCCTAACTTCGTACTGCATATCTGAATTTACTCTGCACATCCAACTTTTTTATAAGCCCAGCATGCCATGAAAATGGGTTCATTTTCAAACCCTAAATTTCAGATTTTGCTGTAACACACTGAAAAGCAATAGCGTGGTTTGTTTTTTTGTTTTTTTTTTGTTTTTTTTTTTTTTCTTTAGGGAGGATTGTTCCTTTTAATTTTTTTTAGCATGTTCTGAAGTCAGAAAATTCTCTCAGAATGTTGAGCACCAATGGCAGAAGTATTTTTCACATGCAGCAATATGTTCTCACTGTCATGTCTCAGAAGAAATCCCTTGGGGCTCGAGATCTGTGCATGTAATACCCACATAGAAAATTAAGCCTCAATTGACTCCATAAAAAAACACCCAACAAATCCCACCTCTAAGAATATCTAAGCATTGTTTTTTAACGATGATTAACGAGATCCTTTTTAGAGTTCTAATATTAGTTACACACATTTAAGGCAAAGCTAAATTTGATATAGTCAGGGATTTCTTTAAAATGCTGGACTGGAAGAGAATGAGTTTCACAAATTTCTCCAGCACTCAGGAGAATGCAGGATCTTCTCAAATCTCAGGACCAACACATCCTTCTTCCTCTGAATTGAAGCCCTTGCTGCCACTGGTTTTTTTAAGTTTAAACATGGAGGTTTGCTTCTGTGAATGGGGCTCCAAAGGAAAGGAAAAAAAACCCTTCAGTCCTGTCCAGCGCGTATTTTGAAAAAATTTAGCTTCCCCGAGGTCTTAACAAAAGGAAATTCTGCTTGTGGGAAGAGGTGATTAATCTGAGACGCTCCAATGATGAAAAGGATGCTCAACAGGTCCGAGCCTTTCGAAGGGAGGGTCTCACTCATCTCTGCCAAGGCGTGGTTCGTGAAGCATCTTTAGCCCTCGACATAGCAGAGGGCACCTCAGAATAATACAGCCTCTCCCCAGGGAACAAAATGCATTTCCAAGCCTTTTCTTTGCCAGGTTAACATTTGACAAGCTTGCTTTCATGCCCTCATTCTCCCCCCAAGTGTCTCAGATGAGGAGGACAGAAAAAGTTTGCGGCAGAGAAGGACAGAAGAAAAAGGAATTCAAGATTTTCAAAACAGGTGCCAAAAAGCAGACTTTCTTTCCTCGCTGCAGACAGCAGGTAATGAGTACAAATGGATGTACTGGGGATTATTCTAGAAGCTTGGGCCAAAGAAAATGGGGTTTGCTCAGCTTTTATACACAAAGACAGACAAAAATCTTCTGAATTCTTATCGTTTAAGTGTATGGGCTGAAAACTGAGCAAAGCTTAAACCCTCCACAGAGCCAACAGAAGGTGATTAGTCCAACATCAGCAGTGCATTAATTTTCCTGCTATTGAATTATTATTTACATACCACAAACGTGCACAACCCCTATCGAGGAAATAAAGGTGCAGCCCCTGTCCAGAAGATCTGCTGTCCTGAGTTCATCCTAACATCGATACAAATAAATGGAGCACACTTTTGCTCTCTAAAATGGCAGTCAAAGCAAATTGGGCATTCTGAGCTGGGCTCTGGCAGCCTTTTGTATTGCTTTCATTAGAGTGTCAGGCTCTAAAAAAAAATAATGTGACAAAGGCAGGGTTGGCTGGCGAGCTGGCAATCATACAACGTCTGGAGATCTGAGCCCCTCTGTAATGATCATATGTGATTTACAGAATCAAAGGGTCAAATTCTGCCCTCAATTACGCACCTATTGCGAGGTGGGACACCACCACGTGGCACGGGAATTAGAGAGGTTATTGTGTTTCTGAAGAGACAGGAAAATGCTCCCCGGCCTTCAAAGTAAGAAAGTCAGTGTTGATCCTGTATTAAATAACAACATATAAATGTACGAAAATATCGGGGCATCCTCGGGGCATTTTTTTTAACGGAGGTATTTTGGGGAGCAATAGAACTCCTGCAGGCTCTGGGCTAACATTCTGGGTTTCTCGTCTAATATTCTGTGCAGGGCTCCACAGATCAAACTCTGGACAAGAAAAATCTGGCCTTCTTTGAGCCTGTTTGAACGCCGCAGCATTGGCTGAGCTTGGCAGTAGTTCCCCAGCTCTGCTGTATCCCAGCTATCCCTCCATGGGAAAAGTGTTTCTGCAAATGCTCATTTCTGATCTGTCTCTTAACTAATTCCCACACATTCTACCAAAAGGACATGCAGTTTATTCCTCAGATGCTCAAGTCACTTCATTTCAACTGCTGCTTCCCCCTTTTGATTATGTGGTCACCACCCTGTAATCCCAGACTTGCTGAATTGTGGGGTTTCTCCACTGACCTTAGTGGGATTTCATTCACCTGGCAGGTGCTCTCAGGAACTGAAAGGCAGCAAAACTGAAATGTCAGCTGGAGAGGGGCTTTTCTGCCACCCTTTTCCTGGAAACACATGACCAAGAAAAGATTCCTCATGGCCACAGGCTTTAGTTTTCCCTCAACACCCACCTGCATTTGGTTCTGTGATGCAACATTAGGGGAAAACACCACCTAAAGAGAAGGCAACTCTGAGGGACAGACACGCAGATTTTCATCTTAATTGCATGTTTTTAGGGCTTCAAAAAGTGTTTCAGAATCATCAGTGTAATATAACTTTTTTTCTGAAATGCAATTAGTATTTACTGTATGGATTCTTTGGCTTTCCAAAATAACAATATCGGTGTCATTATTTGTAAATAGATGTAACGATTTTTTGACTCCAAGCTGGAAATCGATTCTGACTTTCCATTCGTGCAAAACACGCAGATGCAAACTTAAGGACTGTTGTGAGAGGAATCTAACCAGCAAAAGGAGCTCAGACAGGAGGAGACAAGGGAGAAGGAAATTAAATAAGGAGAAGGACTATTAAAGAACAGCTCCAATGATTGGGCTGTGCCACAGAAACATCCTTGTCCCAACCACTCTGTGTGTCACTGGAAGGAACTACACTGTGATCTCTGTTGCAGGCACTGTGCTTCCACGCCATTTTACAGGAACGGAATTTTCTGGATCTTCCCCTTCTGAGTTAACACACAGGCACACCCTCACACAAAACATATGTTAATAACTTCAGACCACAAATTTAATTTATCTCAGCTTTCCACCTGCCATCACTCCCTGTCGTGTGGCGCGGACCCATCCGTAAACAAAACGGGGATTCATTTCCATAGCAACAGCGAGGGGGACTTTGATCAGCTCCAATGATTATTTGTAGGCACGCAGGTTTACAGATCTCAACACCCTCAGTGAAGGCTGATCACCTTGTGTTTTTAAACGCAGGCACTTCAGTTGGTTTACATGTACCAGCAGGAACACGAGGCAGAGGCACTAAAAAAACTACCTGTGAAAGGCAAACGAAGCCACCGGTCATTAGCCCGGTGGCACTTCCAGTGCCTTGGGAATCTGCACATTCCTAATACCTGTAGTGTGATGTGGGTGTCCTGTGACCAGCCAAGTGTGCTCTCGGTGCTCCCTGGCAGAGGGGCAGGTCCAGGTGTTTTGGGGTTGGCTCGTGTGGGACGAGGAGAGGTGGGAGCTTGACAGGGAAAAAAATTTAAAAAAAAAATAAAAAGAGGGAAAAAAAAAAGAATCTGAACAATGTGTTGAAAAAGACTCCAGTCAGAGCTGCTCAGGACCAGCTGTTTTTTTTCTAATTAGAATAACAAAAATAGCACATGCTAAAATGTTTTTTGGTTGTGTTGTTTTTTTTTTTTTCTCAAAAGCAATGAATGCTTTAGGAACTATAAGGAAAGAGCTCTAAAACCTATTTAAATGAAGGAATGTTTCAGGAGCCATATGGAGAAGAAAAAGAAAAGGCGAAAGTAGAGAAATGTTTTATTTTTAGCTAAATCTGAAGCATTTCGATTCTTCATCCAACGGTACACAGAAATTGTCTTACTTTTAAAACTTCCAAAAATGTCAGTGCTGATGCTTATTGTATCATGGCTTAAAGGAGGCATTTCAAATACTTAGAGCCTTTCAGTGGGCTCTTCTTCCAGGCACTGTAAATTTGAAAATTCCATTCCGTGCCCTGAACATGCCTTGAGATCTATTCCTAAGATATATCCGTGCTCTGGTAATGTATGAGAGCTGCACATAATGAAGGATGTGACAAACACTCCAAACACACCCTGTATTATCACTCTTTGCTCCTCTTTTTTCTCCTTTCCCCCCCCCCCCACCTTCCCTTTTCCTGAGGCACTGATGATTCAAAACTTTGACTACAGGAATAACATTTGTAACAGCTCCGGCATTCTGGACATCTGCACTGCTCGAGTACTTCAGAATAAAGTCACATGGCCATGGGGAAATTTCACAGAATTCAAATCACAGGGACTTGCCAAGGTGTATAACGAGTTTGTTTTCAGCTGTTCTCCTCATGAATAATTACCAGGCGGGCATATCCTAAAGCGAGCACAAGCTGTCATCGCACCAGAAATATTCAATATTTAAAACGGAATTTCGAATTTAGAATTTCATAAATGAAAATAATTAAGAGCCCAGGCAAAACAGCCCAGTCCAAGGGCTGTCAGGTACCTCCTGCCTTTCCGGGAGGCTTCCCGGGACCAGCACGGCGGAGCCACATTAAATTATTTTTACAACGGAAAGAAAATTATGCAAAAATATAAAGGGAATTGCAAGGATATTTCCCCCCCCCCCCCCACCAGAACTAATACTTTGCTATCATTTTACTGACTGTTCCTTCACCAAGCACAGAAAGGGAAAACACAGTAGGATCCCAAGGCTTCCATCTGTTCCGGTCCCTTTGGATGGAACGTGCTCGTGGGTTCTTTTGCACCACCACACACAGGAGCCCACGGCAGGGCAGAGCTGGACAGGAGGGATGAGAGGTGGGGATAAGATGCAAGGAATGGGATGCATTTCACCTCAAAGCCTTCCTTAAAGCCTTTGCTCCCATGCAGGTCCCTCCCAGGAAGTTCAGCCCTGCGCTGTTCCTTCGGGAGCAGTTGGGAAGGAGCACAGGGAGAAGGGACCACGGGAACACGAGCAGCTCCAAGGGATCAGGGGCTCACTGCCCCTCCAACAGCCCTGCCAGCTTCCAGAGCAGCTGTGACCTCTCTGTTATCCCAGCAAATATCTGCACACATCCCTGGGTTTTTCTGCTTTTGCATCCCAGAGGGGATGAAAAAAAAGGGGAGCTTGGGAGCCAAGAGGAGAGCGCTCTCGCCTTTCACACGGGGCTTAATATTGGCACGTCATTATAACGTTATGAAAATCTTTATTGGAGCCTGAATAATGCCCTGAAATAGATATTGTGCTGGTTAATAAATTACATTTTCAAATGAGAGAGATTTTATCACCAAAACATCTCATGATTAATTTCTAATGTGAAGCTTATGGCCCGAACTTAAAACATTTGATTTCGCGTTTGTGTTCAAAGGTTGAGCACTTGGGAAAGTTTTTATAAGAAACTCGCTGGATTTTTTTTCCCCATATTGAAAAAAAAAAAAAAAATCACTAACCTGTTAATCCACTATAACTCCATAACCTCAATTACAGCTCTTGAGATGAAGGTGATTAAAAATAAGTATTTTCCCCCCACTTTCAAAGAGCAGGTCACACCTTCCAGAGAAATCCTGTTTCAAATTTTTCGACGATACATTAAGGGCAATAATTAGAATTGGCCAGAAATATTCCATGAGAGATGTTTCCCATTTGTCAACCAGTTCTAACCACAACCACTTGGAGTTAGAGCATGTGGAGCAGCAGTGCTGTAGTAAATGGAGTTATTTCCATAGGGAGTAAGAGGAGATAATACAGAACTGGGTGTGCCAGGGTATTCAAATCAGGAATTCCCAGCTCCCAAACTTCTGCTCTGATAAAGTTTTCTAAAATTAATGATCTCTATTAATCAGCATTTTCCTGAACTTGGCCCACTGCTCAGATTTGGGGCACAGCATTTCCTAACGTGTTTGACCAGTTTGCTGTTGATGCTCGTGGGCAGCCCGTGGTCCATCTAAACACACTCTCCAATGACCAAATGAGCCCATAAATCAGGGGCCAGAGAAATAATCAATAAACAAGAGCGCCAGGCAAAGCTGCAACTCAGTTCCTCCATTTTTCTGGATCTGTTCGAGTCTCGAGGATTAAGATCTAATTTTTTAATTGATTATTTCCAAGATCAACATGGCACTGCAAATATGCTTTTCTAACCAATAAATAAGAATTTTGCCATTGTCTTTGGGGGAACCAGAGGAGATTTTCAGGGAGCTGAGCTGTATAGGGTTGTGGTTTTTTTTTATTTGTCTCATTTTAATCAGGATGTTGGTTGCACAATTCAATCCTGATTGTGTAATCAGAAAGCAAGAAGAAACAGAACACAAATGAATTACTATGGAAAAATTGTCCTCATAATGGGGTCACGAAGCAGAGAGATATACATTTATAATGCTCTGTCAAATTACATTATGCAAGGAAATAAATTATGTTAAGAGAAAGTATGTTTTAATTACAAGCACAATACTTCTTCAAATTGGGGGGAAATTGCTAACCCCTTTATTAATATTATTATTATTATTTAGCATCAATATGCACAGAAGTACCTGCACAGGGCAGACATCCCCTGCTGTTAAGGACCGTGTGTGTGTGCACACATGCACAAAATTTAGGACTGTAACATTTTGCTATTGATATTTTTCCCTGTAGTTTTTCCCTGTGTAAAATAAAGGCACCTGAACAGTCAGACCAGAGTAGTTTGTTGTTGCCATGCACATGCCAGCAGTTTGGGGTGGTTTTGGTTTTTTTGGTTTTTTTTTTTAGTTTTCTTTTTTTTAATCCAAACAAGTATTTAAAGAACCGCATCCTGGGGAGAAAGAGGGTCCTGTTAGGACACACAATTCGCCTTATAATTGCAAATGGAGTTTGAATAAAGGCAAACTTTTTACAATCCGTTATTAAAAAATGGCCTAATATCACAGGTGTTTGCCATGCCTGTCTGTGAGAAAGATTTAGAGATCCTATCAATCTTTTAAAACCTTTATTTGTCCATATTCCCCCTGGCTTGGCCACCAATCAAACAACAGTTGCTCCAAGTGCTGAGTATAAAACAGAGCTGATATTTTACTCTCCTGCCTCAGCCTCTACCCACAGAATCAACCACAAACAACTCCCAGAAAAAGTCCCAGCTACCCGGGCAAAAGGTTTGTCCCTCTTCCCAGCCCCAGTTTCCTGGGATAACAGTACAGGGATCTTTGGAAGTGCACGTAATGAGAAGCCTGGAAAATATTCAGCCTTTGCCTCAGCAGGGCTGTGAAGGACCCTGAGCACAGGAGGAGGAGGGAAACACACGGGAAAAGGGAAGTTTGGTCGTGCACTTCTCTACCTAAAATTTAACTTTGCTTGTTAAAGTGTTGCTTAAAAGAGAATTTAAAATCCCTGCCAGGTGTCAGACGTCTCCCCTGCTCACCCAAAGGGTGTCTGGATACACTAAAAGGATCTTCCTTACCACAAGGTGGCATCTTCTTATTTTTTATATAAAACATCTGAATATTTACATAATTTGAATAATTTTCTACACCTGAACGTTTCTCATTGCTTTGTTTGTGACAGCCATTTGACATCTGTGCAGACACCCATCGGTGATGTCAGACTTCACCTCCCAAATGCTCCTGGAAGTGTCTCTGTGGCTGCTTTCCATGGACCTTTTCACACACGTCACGCATGGACTGAATCCCCTCCCCAAACGAGGTGCTGGCAAGACTTCCAGGAACACACAAATCCTCCCTGAAAATTCTGGGGTGAGGGAAAGTAAGAATTTACAACACTTGTTTAAAATGCTGAGCTTTCTCCCCCAAACTGCTCTCGGAAAAGCACATTACTGGGTATCTCAGCACACAGATATTTTAAAATATAGCAGAGAAATCCACTGAACCCAGAGAACTTCACACTCCAGACTCTACAACATAACTCAAACCAACTCTACAAACAGAAAAAATGCATGAAAAGCAGCAGCAGGGTTTTTTTTAAAATGTGCTCAGATCACTCCTAATATAACCCATATGAGAAGGCAAAAGGGAAAAGTTTAAAGCCTCTCTCTCCCTAACAGCTCTCATTTTGCACAGTCATTGGTCTCCTTCCAAAGGTGAAGGTTTTGATTAATCAGAAGAGCACAATGTCCAGCTATGATGTTCAACTAAACACAAGTGGGAATTCCTACCTAAGTGAGGAATCAGAGGACTCAGTTCCCCTGACAGAACTCAGTGCACCCCCCACCACGACGACTCTGCTTTAAAAGCAAAGGAGAAAAAGGAGATTTTTATTTTTTAAATGCTGCAAGTTCATTAAATCTGATCCTGGATCTGCTGATTCAAGTGCAAACTGCTTCAAAAGGCCCTGAGCTCGGGCTCCTGTCCCATCACTGAG